GCTCACCAGAAGCAGAATGGTTCGCCCGAGGCAGGTAACACTACAATCACATCGTCAGTCAACCTACAGCCAGCTTTGCCTTGCAAATGTGCAACCCAACTCTATGACGATACAAACCAGCTTTTTCCGACTCAGTCAGCCAACCATTACTCCTCCTGTCTGATGGTGTGTTTCCTCACTAGATGGTAGAAGTCAGCCGCAACAAAATGCACATGTAACAATAAGGCAAGACATTTAAAACATCTTGAATTTGTGAAATTTGAAGCATTTAATTCTATTTTTACTTTTAATTTGACTTTAAATAGGATACTGATTTGAAACTTTAATGTTTGTGTTAAAGTGAATTCATGTGACATAAAAAAGGAGAGTATTTTACATAAAAAAATAGTTTATTATTCATCGCATCTCTTGCCATAAATTAACTACCTCATTGCCATGTCCAGCTGTTTTAAACACAAACAACCATCTCCAGCCTTGAGCTTTTCCAAAGCATGTTTAACTCCCATGATTTGACACATGAGAGGGAAAGTCATGAGGATGACTTCAGGGGTAAATATTTTTAAGATAAGATCATGTTGTGCCATTTTCTCTTTGACACTTGGTTTATACTCATGTTTCTTTGTAGTGGTCTTCACGGTGTGATTACTAAACAGTCGTGTAGTGTTATCAGCCAGATTTGGCCAAATAATTCTGCAAATACCCAAAAACCCCATTATGTGTTGTATGTTGGACATTTCTTTCTTTTCACCATATTCATATTACTATGTAATTTCTGGATTCAGCAGATCTTCATCTACTGTACACTTATGTGTTAGTATATCAGAAACGATGGAAAATACATGACCAAATGACGAGTTGTCAATTTCTCTATTAGTTGATCGATAGAAAATTAATCTGTTTAATTTTAAGTCACTTTTTAAAGCAAAAATGCAAAAACATTCACAGGTTCCAGCTTCTCGAATGTGAATATCTGCAGGGTTTTTGTCTTCTACTATAGTAAATTAAGTTAAAGAGTTTGTGAGTGGGACCCAATACAGATTTATTTAGACATTTTACAGATATACTGATGAATTAAATGAATTGTCAATAATTAAACCTTAATATAACATTTTAATTAATGAAATGGAATAAATGTTTTTGAGGAATTTTTATAGATAGCATATCTTCTTCTGCTGTTGTGTTGGTACTATCAAAATTTTCCGCCTCCCTAGCTACATCCAAAAAATAAATTAACACGCCGCTGTGCCACTGCCACATATTATGTTAGGTTGTTAAATTTGTGCAGCTACTTCTGCACAGCTACTTTAATGCAGTGATGTGTCAGTGTTGTGTTTATAGCTCGATCCCAACTATTTACACATGCAACAGACACAAAGAGACATTAGCATTCATTTGGACTCGTTTGTCCGGCCGCCTGAGAAATGTAAGTCTAACATTTGCTCTTCTTATGAGCTATATTTTTTTCCACAGACACATGAGGGAAATATCGGTTTCTTTAGCTGCTAAGTGCTCTGTTGTGTTTACCAGCTAGTCTCTAACTTTGTCTGTTTGTTGTTTGGTGCTGGGCAGCTCTCATCGGCATCGGCAGCTGCTGATGAGAGCCGTGAGAGTGAATCCAAACAGAGAAGTTGTGGCCCGGAGAACCAAAACAATGAGCTGAAAGATACTAAAACACTACAGGGAAGTAGAAAACTACAGGGATAGTTGATATGTATATGTGGTTTCATCACTCCTTACACATTACACAAATTGTTTGTATTAAATTATTGATTAGTGCAGCTTTAAGTATTAAGTTGGTTGTTGAAATGACAATTTACAGCCAGGAAAATCCAGTTTTATCTGTGTTTAATTTAGAGAATAAATCAGTAATGAGATTCCAATTAAAACAGTTTTAACTGAAATGTGTTTATAACTTTCTTATTCCCATGTTTGGTTATTTTATGAAGAAAACTGTGAAGTCTTTTAACTTGAAGTTATTGGTTAATTAACCCCCCTTTCACAACACTTACTAGTCCATGTACTGTCGCTGTGTTTTTATCTGTGCCAGGAAGGAGCTAAACATATTCATACTCATAATTGATTCATAACAATTCAGTCAGAGACAGTCATGTCAACGGGTTTAGGACCATTTATTGCAACAAATATGCCGTCGTATTTGGCAGAGGAGGCTCTGAGCTTCAAGATGCTCCCCAAACGAATCCAAGCAGCCTGCAAGACTCCGAGGCAGGCACATTAAAACACCCCCAAGGGTATAGAGAGCAGCGGACACATATCACTGAGATATGGAATATACATAATGCACAAGGCAAGTGATGCCACCGCACAACAAGAAAACAGGAGGAGGAGCAAGCTGGCGGTGGCGGAGGGATGAAATAAGCATGAGCGATCAGAGGGCTGAGAGCTGGAGCTTGTCAGATGATTATTGACCTGCTTGAATGTGGCTAGTAATTGTCAGTCAGTTGACGGTGACTTCTGCTGGGACTAATACGATGTTCCATTAATGTGATAGTTCCCACTGCCCGCTGGGAAATTACCTCCTCTCTTGCTCCCCTCCTGGAAGATAAGGGACACTTCAGCTGGGTGGGTGCTTGCCAGTGCAACAGTGTGTAAAACAGGGTCCTCTATTTAAAGCTTGCTGAACGGATGGGCCTCTCCGGATTGAACTGGCGTGGTAGACCCTCTTGGCTTTTTCACATGTTGCTGTGAATGTGTTGGAGGACCCGGTGTTGGAAGTGTAGATGAATGTGTGGTGGAGATTGTTTCAGCCAAGTGACGGTGAAGCACACCTCAAAATCCCAAGAGATCGTTTCTATGTAGAAGAAAGAGAGCACGGAGGGCACTCATAGAGAGAAGAGGATTGTACTTAACTGAGATTTGTCTAAGATAACTTTGTCTGCATCCTCAGTGACTAAACCCACCTCTGGATGTCGTGGCGCACAGCGGCAGACCTGTAAGGGGATAATTAGACGCCTTGGGATAGCGAAGTCATGCTTTGCTGCTTTTGCACAAATAGTACAGCCTTTCATGTAAAAAAATGTGACCTGGCCATGACGGTCCTGTTAACATCATTGGATTGATAGTCTGTAAGGCAGCTTGTAATACTGTACATCTCAGCAGGCCCTAGTTAGATCTGTTTGCTCCTTTACTGCGAGCACAAAGAGTACTGTACATCTAGTATCTGTACAGTGGATTTGTTGGTCCCACGTGCATTTTTCACACCAATCCCCCAAGCAAAGCCCACCTGAAGCTCGTTCCCTCCAGGACTTTGCGCAAAAGATGTATGAAGTCCCAAAACAGTACTGAAGCCTGTTACATCATAGATGCCTGGTCTTACCGCATCTTGAAAAGTTACAGGACTAATGGAAACAAATGGATGAAGAAAACTGATGAAGACAGGAGCTATGGCGCATTCTTTTTGGTTGTTTTTTTTGTTGGTAAAAGAAATCCCACAAAAAGACCAAAACCAACAATGAAATGATCCCACTAACAAGTATTGCCTAAGTATTGCTTGGTATATAATATTCCTCTGTCCCGTCGAGCTCTATTGTTGTCCAAAAGGATTAAAATCAATGAGCCACACTGTTGCACTGGGTGAAATGTTCTTTACAGAAAGTGAACGTAGCAGAGTGCAAAATCAAACAACTTGAACAAAGCAAGCAGTTCAACGAGTGGCTGAATCAGATATGCAGATATCATCCCGAACTAGAGCAGAAGGCCCAATTTAAAGCGTCATTCAGCATGGAGTGCAAAAAAGTTACGAACCTCAACCTGAAGGTCCTCCAGCAGTAGATATTTCTTCCCTGAAAGCAGAAATAACGCAGACCTCTCAGACGTAAAACTGTTGGGATATGCTTAAAAAAACTGTTGTGACTGCCTTTCAGAGAATGTGCAAGAATTTAATCAATATTAACATAATTATGATTAATTATCTGCAGTTCTGGTACAATTCATACTTTATTTAGTGTTTGGGTAAATATAGAAATTAATTCCTGGGACATAATCCTTTCAAAATCATAATAAAACCTTCAACTTGCTGTTGTAAACACTCACTAGAGCACCAAATGTGTATTAGTCCGCGTCTGAAAATAGTTAAACAACAGCTGCAGTATTTACTCCTACTTGAGAACCACCTGTTTTCAGTAATTATTTAGTGAAACCATATATTTGTGACCCCTTTTTAAAGATTAGCATCCTCAGTACGAAGAAAGTCTTTTTTATTTTTTTTTTTATTTTTTATTTCTTATTTTCACAGCATTTGAAGCAACACCCAAAACTTTTTTTTCTGTTCAAAGTTTCAACTGAAGGTAAAGGAAAGGTCCTCAGGGTCAGAGTTAAGGTTAAGAATAGAAACAGTTTTGTCTGGTGGGCACACATCCTTCCTTTTCGTCTACAAAAGAGATACTGTGTCCTCTACCTTTGTCGCTCTCTCTTTCTCCTTCGCTTGCAGACAAACCCCATTCAAGACTCAGTGATTAATTATTTACCCAGGCAATGAAATGCCAAAGCCTAGAGAAACACACCACCAGGAGAGAAAAGGTCACTCCCATCCCGCTCGTAGATACACACTCTATGCTACACACTCGCAACAGTGATGGATGGCAATAACATCTTTATCGGTGCTTCAGGCAGACAGAGTTTTCATCCTCGTGTCCAAACACCGTCGAGACCAAGGGCAAAGCAAAAACTTGACTGATGAGGTGAAATCTTCAAGAGAGCCCCGAAAAAAAAGAGGCCTCATTTAAAACCCGCTCACATGTCAGAGGTGGTGAACTGACCGATCAATAGCAGTCTCGAACTCTGTCAGTGTGTGTGTGTCGTGGTGCAGAGTATGCAGAGCCAACTGTAACCTTTCCTTTATGAGTGAGCTCAGACATTGACGGGAAAATGTCACCCGCCGAAGACAATGTGTGCGTGTTTTCAAAGAAGTTTTGATGCTTTCGATTGAGTCAAGGGAATTTGTGTGATTAAAGTTTAATTGCTTTCTTAATGTCCCTCCACAGCTCCACAACACAGCTGCCCAAATGGGGTGCCAGTGCTGCAGGATGATAAAAAGGTGAGAAGTCTGACTGACTCTGCAGTCATTATCTCTTCTTGTTTGTTTGTTTCGTGACACTTTCCCTGTCGATTCTTCTCGTTAACAGTCAGGCTACAATCTTACAATCGCTTGTTTTCAGTGATTTAGAGGAAACATTTTTTCCTTTTTCCTTTAGTGGTTTGTAGCCAGTTTTGGTTTTATGCTTCAAGGATTTTGTGTCAGAGGTTTGTTTACCCCCAAGAAATGTGCAGGTGGATGGAATTTTCATCTGTTGTACTCACAATATTACTGTCAAGAGTCATGATTTTTTTCTGCTGAAGTCAGTTATATGTTCTTTAACTTTAACAAAGCCATGTTGTTAATGACTAAGCCTCTGAAAACGGTCAAAACCAACGCGGTACCGATTGACATTGGCACAAACCAGGTGTGTCTACTGCTCACCGTTGCTTTACTTGCTCCGTGCTTGTAAAATATCCACCGCGTTCGCATCTTCTAACATAATACCAGAACGTCTCTCTCTGTTCCTTTGCAAAGCCCAATTAAAGTCTATGTTTGGATAATGGGAAACATTGTTCATCTTATTTATATACCCAAAATCACACATTTATGAGCTTAACAATCAGTACAACATAAGACACCCTGTATCCGAAAACCCTTGATTTGGAGAACAGGGAACGACAGCTTTGTCCTCTTGTGATAAGTTCAGTTTGTAGACTCTGTGTTGTTTCTCCTTCATGTATTTTGGATTGTTTTTGTTCCAAAATACGTGGAGAAACTATTCCCATCAGCCTCAGCAGTACTCTGTGTTTACTGCAGTGCTAATGCTAGCATGCTAACACACTAAACTAAGCAGGTGAACATGATGAACATTATACCTGGTATCATCATGCTGACAGTAGCATTTAGCTCACACGTACAGCCTCACAAGCTGCTAGCGTGGCCGTAGACTCGTAGTTTTATTATTACATGAATTGTGGTTATTGTTAAAGAAACATCCTCCTCAGTAACAACCTCTCACTGTACATTTCCTTATCTGCAGGTCCACAGCGCCAATTTGAACATCTCCTCGCCTACATAATGATTTCTTGTCTTGTTTCATGCAGATAGTGAGAGGTCCATTTATAATATGTCTGCACTCTCAGCCTCACGTGGGCTCTTTGTACAAACTGTGAGTCAATATGCCAATAGCCATCACCCTTGGTTACTGTATTTCTTTGCCGGACTGTCTATTCATTAAAAGCCTACAAGGCATCGTTGTCATGACGTCGCTGTGCTTTTCGAGGTGAACGAGGAGACAGAACAGGGCCTGGAAACGAGATTTTGATTGCAGATTAATGAAAGGGCACGCTGTGATTCGCATACCAGAGTCGTAATCCCCCTTCCACACTTTTTTTTTTTTTTCCCCTTTCCCATGTCAAAGACACACATGTGAATGCTTGTGACACGCACACATACCTCCCTAATTGTCTGGAGTGTCACATTTCTGGGCTTAGTGTCGTTTGGGGTTTGGCAGGGTGGGCGTGTAGGTTACTGGGTCAACAGTACGGCCTCAATATCAGCCGGCTGACGCTCACACAACAGCCAGGAGCTCAGTTCATTTGAACCAATGAAATGACTGGTTGAATAAATTGTGCTTTTCATTGTTTCCCCACTTATTTACAGGGACATGATTTGCTTTAGCTTTCAAATCTTTCTCTTTAATCTATCTCTCTCTTTACTGAGCTGTCAGTGTCACAAAAGAGCATAATTTACTGTAAATGAGTGACTTGCATTTATTTGCAGCAACTTTGCTGGTTAATTTAATTGAAAACCCATAAAAAGATTAAAAAAAACAATGAGACATAAGGGTTCCATACACAAATTTACTAGTTTGTTCAAAATATGTTGTTTGAAGGGTGAAACATTATGAATCAACTCCTTGTCGGACAACGTCGCATTGCGAGTGTGTCAAAAATCGAGAAATTGGAGACTTTTTTTGCCAGATGACCCTGTGTTGTTGCCAGCCCACCACCCCGACTGATCTAATGCAATGGTCCCTTTCAAATATTGAGTATTTTAACGAAAGTAGGATGTATTTATTATTATTATTATTTTATTTTTGTGACTTCTTATGTTGAATTTTTCCTTTCAACTTGATAGTAAATATAATGTTCATAGCTTTTTTTTGCTTTTCGCCACTCCGAGGTGGAAATTTCCATCGACTTTCGAGGACAATGTGCCTCGCATTAAGAAAGCTAAAGATTAGGATGTTCATCACAAGTGTAATGGCGTTGGTGGCATAAAATCCATAGGCACCGCTGCTCCCTGCATTAAACCAATATCAGTTTAAATCTGTGCAGCACAAGAAGGGATTGGAGTTGGTATTGTGGTCACATACCGCAGGTGCGGCTAATCGTCGATTTATACGAGGGAACCTTCTCCTGTAACTTAATCAGCATTTGACTTAACCTGACGCAGTAAACAACATCTTGCATGGTGCTCCAATGAAGTTAAATCATATGTAAATAATGGCTTCTTCCGGGATGGAGGAGCTCCCTAAAAAAAGCTCTTTAACATAAACAAAACCCAAAACAGAAAGGGAATCCCGAAAGAGAGAGGAAAGCAGGAACTCCCCAGAACCAACTGCACCTACTTATATGCAAAGTCACTCTTTTGGTATTAAAATCCGAGCTCGGCACAGAGCAGCTGCTGCTTTTCTCTTTCTGTGTGGTGTTTTTTTGCTTGGAGTGCTTCATCTGATTTATCTGATTGAACACCGACACTCCCTACTGGACATAAAATGGGCCTTTCTTTTTACTGAATGAAGACAAACATTTTGACATTTTGTCTGCCGTATGTGTGTCCATTTTGTCTCTATCCAGTTCCCCGAAAAACAAACACTGAAAACTGCAACAACAAGTTTGAGTCTGCTCTTTGAAAATAGCTCGGAGACAGAAAAGGCGGCCTTTCCTTTTGCCGATGAAAATTGTTTCATTCTCTCACACAGCTTTTGTCCAGCTTTATGAATCATTGGTCCTCCCCCCCCCCCCCTTCTTCTTCTTATAAAACACCTTGTGTGTGTCTGGCTTTTTCTGAAAGCAAGCCTCAAATTTCACCTTGGCAGCCGGGACACAGCGGTGGCGAGAGAAATGGAAAACATTCATTTTCTCAGCTTTCCACTGTGCAGGGAGACGTAGGGGAGGATGCAGGTTGAGAGAGAGGTGCTTAAGTCAGAGAGGGTGAGCGTGCGTGTGTGTGTTAGCTTGTGACTATAAAATGTGTAGGCGGGGGGAGATGTGTTTGTGTGTCTGCTTACCAGGAGCTGTTATTGAATCAATCAATACATCTGAAAGTTATCTTCTTAATTCTCAGGGTTCGTGTTGAGTACACGAGCCCTGAACAAAAGCACAGAAAACAAGAGTGTGGAGGACAACTTTAGAACGGAGGAGGAGGAGGCGGGAGTGAGACGATAGATGGAAAAAGCTCGAGGGAAGGTGCTCAAATGAAGGAGAAGTCAAGTGCAAAGGGATAGTAGATTAGCGAGCTGCATCTACATTACAGTGACGCAGAAAGAGGGTTTGTGTGGAAGGGGGGGGGAGACACCTGGAGAGGTGTGAGATGGAGGGGAGCAGTGCTGGGGTTTACAAGGCTCGCAGGGTGGAGGAGAAAACAAATGAAAGGAAGAAGAGGATGAAAAACATGAGGCTCTCGCAGCGGGCGATGTCTGACAGCCTGTTACACCGTCCACAAAATAAAGCCCCCCCTGCCAACACTCCTAAAACCTGTCGAGGTGTGTGTGTGTGTGTGTGTGTGAGCTTCTTGTAAGAAAATCCTCCACAATGGAGCAACAGATATATAGTCATTAGAGCCTACAAGGGGCTATTTAAGGTGTAGAGCTTAAATGAGCATTAATTAGTCTCGGACCTTTATCGACCTCCACCGTCCCACGAGGAATAAAAAGGTATGGCAGTGTGTAATTTACCCAATAGAAGAGACTCATTTCACAGCAGCGGGGTTCAACAGAAACACCTAATGAAGGAGAGAACAGGAAATACTTTACATTAGAGCTTAATAATGTATCAGTGCTGCTTTTATCTGATTGAGAATGGAAGCTGGCTGTTATGCTGGCTGCAGGTGAAAATGCCCCCTTTCGTATTCAACATTTGTCACTCATCTTAATGAGCTCAACTGCGGCATAGTGAGGGCTCATTATTTTGTTTTTTTTCTTGAACAAAATGAGAAAAACAAAATGTGAATTCATTTGTGTTTATTATCATTTATTGTTTGCTTTTTAACCTTACTTAGACGGACATAATCAGAACATGATCAGCGGTGGATTTGTTTTTTTGGTCCCTTTTACTATTAAATGTGTATTTTCTGAGCTACTGAGTTTGAACTTTGGGGATCAGCGTCTTCTCACAGCAGGAAACAGCCGATTTAGAGGGGACATAAAATCCAAATGAAAAACTATTTAAATTCTGATTATTTTTTTGGGTCTGTACCAAACATCTGAAGATTTGTAGGCTAGGGCATCTCTGCTGTTAAATGCTGTTTTGTTACACTTTTAATCTTTATTAATAATTTATCTTAAATTAAACTAAATAAAGTAGCTTGTGCGATTTGCATATTGCACTTGGTCATATTGTGATTTTGATAATAATTTGATTCATTGTGAAGCCCTAATATATATGGATATATTTCAGTGTAAATCTAAGGGATAATCTAATATCATTAGCTTCCTCACAAACAAGCGAAGTACCTAGCTTCTAAGTGTTGTCTCCTTTAAAGCAGTTAATTGTGGAAACACACCGATTTGCTTGATATTTAGTTAGACTAGAAGATCAATACCACTCACATATATCTGTACGACAGTTAGCCTAGCTTAGCATAAAGGCTGAAAGCAGGGGGGAGCATCAAGCCTGGCTATCTAAGTATATAAGTTCATAAATACTCAGACCAACACCACTAAAACTCACTAATAAGTTACAATAAGTAACCTTGTTTAACTGTAGACAGAGCCAGGTTAGCTGTTCCCCTGCTTCCAGGCTTTAAGCTAAGCTAGGCTAACTGCCTCTTGGCTCCGTACTTAACGACTTAAAATTGGTATCCATCTTCTCAGCTGACTCTTGGAAAAAAAGCAAATTGGGTTTTCCAAGATGTTAAACTATTCCTTTAAATTCTGCTGTTGTGGTTTGCCAAGTGCAAAGTGTTTGACTTTACTCTTCTTTCTTTTCTTATTACTCTTTTTAGCGTCAAGTTTAATAATCTAGCATCTAAGACTCTTCTCCTTTAAAGCAGTTAATTCTGGAAAATACACATTTTCCAAGAGATAGCTAGATTAGGAGATCAATACCACTCTCATATCTGTGCATTAGGTAAGGAGCTAGAGCAGGGTTAGCCTAGCTTAGCATAATCAGTGTATATATTGACTTTTATAATGTAAAATATCCCACTCAGTTCATTATGAGTTGTTTTTAAAATCAGCCAATATATCATTATCGATATCGGCACCTGCCTCCAGTATTGTATCTATACCCAAAACCTCATAAGAAACCAGTTTCAGGCTAGAGGGAATTTTGGCAGCAAGAGTCAAGTTCAAAGTTCATAACCTAATAATGTAGAATACAGCATTAATTTGATATATTTATGTTAATATTGCAGCTTTAAGGTCAGAATAAGAGCAAATGTAATCATGATTCTGAGATGCAGCCTGTAGTAATAGAACATCTGTGTTTGTGTGCTTTGTGGATGAGTGTCTGTTTCATCCTCTCGGCTTACATGTCTTTTTTTTCCTCCTGTGGTTGCCTCTGCGCCGTGAAGTCAGCAACACAAACAAAACAACTTCTGAGAGTAGAAGTCATCAGTATTTTACTATTTGAACCAGACTTTGAGTGCAGCCAGAGGCCTGTGTACAAATCCCCGTCCTATCTCCTCTCTTTCCAGCGACATTCTGCATAAAATATATCTGACATTCACATGGGCTGTGCAAACACTACCGCAGTCTCAGCTAGATGTCGTCTGTATGTAAACATCAAGTGCATGCACAGCGACAGTAACAGTGACATTTAGAAAAGGTGCATCGACTGCGCAATGAAGTATCCTTGTTGCAGTCGGTGTACAATATGTGATGGTGTTTTCATCGATTTTTACTGGAACATCTGACTCCTGGAGCCCGGTCAGACGGACAGAAATAGTCCTCTCTGTCTGTCGCCACACTGATCCAGGAAATCAAATAGTGAAGTCAAGTGTAACTCTGACTCGTTTGGAGTTTAAGAAAAAAAAGATCTTGCTCCTACTGATCTTTCATTCTTTCTGTTTTTCATAGCAGTTTAATTAAAAGTCATATTTCTTTTGAGTTAAGTAGATGAGATGAAACTGGATGTGAGGTTGTGCTTTTTACGTACATTTTCAAGTTAATACGACCAACTTATTGCAGTGTTTTTACTGGTAACCATGTTCACCAGCTTAGTGTAACATGCTACCATTTGCTAATTAGCCTACAAATTGCAGCCTCAGGATGACGGGAATGTCAATAGTTGGTTATAAAACAAGTATCAAGTATTGGACATTCACAATTCACCCTGAGGGGAGCGTGAACAGATTTTCAAGGCAATCCATTCGATAGTTGATGAGACATTTCACTCTACCTCATGGTGGCGCTAGAGCAAAACTCATTAGGATTCATCGTCTGAGAACCACGAATGTCTGCACTAAGTTTCATTTCAATCCATCCAACAGTATCTTTTAGTTTGGACCTAAATATCTAACTGAGCTACACTGCTAACATTGCTAAATATATTTAAAATAAAACAAACCACAATGATACAATTAAAGAAAATCTAAAGACAATAGACAAAAGACTATTCAATTAGTCAACTTATGGTTTCAGCTCCAGAAGTAACCCCCTCTCCGTCTGTCTCTCTCACAGCTACATCTACGACCCCTCCGCAGCGGTGGATGTGAGGAAGTCTGACTCTGCGGGCAGCTCGCTCTACCAGTCCCACCAGCTCTCAGGCGGGGCCCACGGCGGCGACCTCCGCAGCAGCCACAACAAGCAGAAGGAGGGCTTCCACAACCCGGGTTACAGCAAGTCCAACGACAGCACGCTGAAACTAGAGGTGGACAATAACCACGTCAACCACAGGCTGCACTCCACAACCTCTACGAAGGAGCTGCACAGGCAGGGGAGCACGCCGCCCACAGAGGTGTACATCATCCAGCCAGAAGGTCTGGGACAGAGATGGATGGGGCAGGAAAAAGCCCCGAGCCAGGTGCCCGTTTACCCCAACATACAGGAGAACGATAAGCAAAAGAATAAAAAAGAGAAGAAAGAGAAGAAAGAAGAAAAAAAGAAGAAACGTAAGTCAAAGGACGAGTGGGACAGCATCATCGATGAGTGTGTGATGGGCATGGCAATAGACGAGGTGTACGAGATAGACGAGGGCGTGGGAGTGGCGCTGGACTTCATGTGCGACACGGGGGACGAGGCTAGCGTCCTGTCGGTGGACATCCACACCAGCAGCACCACCCTGTCCTCGGCGGAAACCCGGGACGGACGCAGACAGCCAAAGACTCCAGACGTTTCCACCGTCGAGAGCGGGATCTCGGTGATGAAGAGCGAGGACGAGGACGAGGCAAGGAACGAGGAGGTGCAGAGCGTTACGGACTCAATGGTGGCGGAGGCCCTCGCCGCTTTGGAGGCCGCCACCGCCGGGGAGGACTGTGAGTGACAGGACTTTGTCTCACCTAATAAACCTGAATGTGATTTGACAGAGCGTTCAAAACCACAACTTAGCCACGGTTCTGAATAACACCTGTGTTTATAAATCAATGAACATGGAACGAATGAAGGAAAACTCTGTTTACACAAAGTACAGATTTATTTTTGAACTCAAAAAATCTTGGATATTTTTTTATTTTTTGGTCACACTGACAGAACATAATGTCTGCCTTGTGAAGGACTTTCTCCAGCGCTGCGTGGTTTGCATAAAGCCACAAAATGAAGAGACATCAGTGTGTAGACGGTGAACGTCGCCTGCAGCCATATCAGCCTGTTAGCCCTTTTGAATCTAGTGTACTTAACAGTCCTAAAAAGCCTGTGTGAGCTCCCTCACTGCTTTGCCATGTCCATACTGCCCTTGTACAGGTATTATGTATCACATTTTTTTTGCCTCATTTTGCAGCATAGCTATGCTAATTGTTAGCATAGAGTCCATTTTTTTCATTTGTGAACACACAGTCCTTGCCATAGCTTTCTGTTCCTTCAGGAATCTCGTCCGCGTTTCACTGAGCAGGCGAAAGAGGAAAGGTCAAAGCAATATTTTTTTTTTTTTTATGTGAAACCCATGTTTTTGTCTATATTTTGTCTTCTTTTATTATTTATAATATCTTCACTCGCATCCTTGGTGATTTATCGTGAGAAGAAACTGGACGAATTAGGAAGCGTTTCTTATTTATAGCTTATTGCGTCATTGTTGATTTCATCGGAATGAATATTCTTATCTACTCGGAAATTTAGAGAAATTAGTTTACACACACACACACACACACACACACTGTTCTCACATCATCAGACACGCTGATGATTCTCTGCTTTTTTTGTCAATTAATAATGTAATTTAATGCACGTTACTGTGAGACCATTTGTTATGTGATGGTATATCAGAAGAGCTATGCACATCTGAAGTCTTGAGCAAGTTACCAAAGGATAAAATAGAAAGGCTGCTGGTATGTTTCTCTGATATCGCCTTAGTTTCTTCAGTTTTTCAACCTTAGCTGAACTTGAGCTTAACAAGAGCAGCTAAGGTCAAATCATTGGTGATTGAACCACAGAGGGGCCATCAATTCACCCTGCTAGCTCTGTTTTTTTTCTATTTTATAAGTCAGGCTGTGTGTTTCTTGTCTGGCCTGTGACATTAGTTCAATCCGCAGCTCGCTTATGTGCCTAATAACAAACTAATTGAGGCCGGACGGTGCTGAGGAAATTACAGGTATGGCTTTTTGAAGAGTGTGCTAATGCTAAATAAGCTGTTTTTTTGCTCGATGAAGTTCTGAATTTGTTTCACTGCGACTCCCCTTTTCACTCATCGTTTGCCTGCCAAATAATTTCTACTTATTATATTTGTACTGTAAAATAAAGGAATGTACTTTAAAAAATGTAAACAGTGACGTGTGTGTAGTTATTTATTCTGATATGGCTTTCAGAATGGATTTTAAGGGGGTACAGGTAGTTAGCTAACATTAGCCCTGGAGGAAGAAGCTTACCCCAGTTACACCTCAGTCTTGGTGACACAGTGACTGTATTGCAGAGCAAGTTGGTAACCAGTCATCCGGTCATCTGGTCAGTCATCAGAGGTCTAGGAGATTTAGCTAGCTTCGCTCAGTCACTATAATAAGTCCACAGTGGTGCAACACAGCTAATAAGCTACAATAGTTTCATCCATTTTGGACTCTCTGGCTCTTTGTACCCCTAAAAGGTTGGCTTTCAAGATGCCTTGTTTTTGGTCAATGGTGCAAATTTCACAATTCAACAAAGTAGAAATCAATGAAAAAAAGTTAAAGTGAATTAACTAATTGCAGCGATTGCACTTATACACACACATTTATTTATTTATTTTTTTTACTGTAAAATGTCTACATTTTAAATGCTGGTATTAGCAGCCCTTTAAACTGTTTATGGTTCAATTGTTTATATTTTCCCTGTAATAAATTCTGCCTTATTAGCTGCGTGTCTCTTGAGTCAAAGCTAGAAGTAATTGGCACGTAGCCTACATGACATTAGATCTGAGCTCACTATAAATTCATTGGTGGGTGATTAGAAGACCTTTTAGCTACATGTTTATTTTAGATTGTCCTCCACGAAAATGTTCAAAATATCAAAATTTAAATGATCCTTCTTAGAGATTCTGTGATTCTGCAGGACATCAAATGCTTGTTTACGCCTGCTTTCTCCCTCCGTCCTCATGAACGATGAACGAGTGCAATCACTGTGGGACTTCGGTGTTTAAACCTCGCCATCGCAGCAGTTAAAGCCTCTGCGGGTGGCGTCCTGGGGCCCCGGGACCTCGGCTAATGAACACCTCAGGGCTTTTTTTTTTTTTTAGCTTGAACCAGGAAGACGCACACAGAGCACCTTGGAAACTTCCACAACAGCTGCGGTTGAAAGAAATCCTGATCGGCCGACTGACTTAGGCTCCTCGCGGCAGGAGAGGATGTTATGTGTCTCTCTCTCAGTGCAGGAGGTGGAACAGAGCCCTGAAATAGCTGTTTCTTTGGATATTTATCTATTCATCTCACCCACCCTCTTCTATCTTCATCCCTCTTGCTCTTCGCTTGTCGCTGTAATTGCTCGCCATGGTTCTCTCAATTATAGTGTGCTCTTTTTAAAGCCTGAAACTTGGTCTTCTCTGTAGTTGGACTTTGTTTTTCCAGGCATGGCAGGGTTGAATGTTTTTTTTTTTTACAAGAGCTCCACGTGTTTTATTTATTGATTTATTAAGAAATGTTTTGAACAGCTTTTGCAAATTGGTTGTTGTTTTTGCTCTTTAAATCCCCTCACATGTACTGCAGTGTTCGGTTTCAAACGTCACAGCGATACTACATGAAACCGGAGCTGTCACATACAACATGATGTCAAACAATGGAGGTTAGACTACCAGCCTCAAGGCTGCAGTGAGGCCCGCGTGCGAGAATACATTCACAGTTTAGCCGAAGCTTTGATCCAAAATGACTCAGTTAAAAGTTAACAAGAAGGTATGTGTCTCTCTCAAGGGTGCCGTTGTGTTTTGGTTTTTTATTTTCCCCTCCATGATGGACAAGGTAACTTGTGGATACAGTGGGTTGCTGTTTAGTCAGCAGGGGAAATCACAAGCTGGAGAACAAACAAGCTCGTTCTTCAGCGCTGACTTCTTCCAAAAGAGCAAAACCACATTGAAAACATGTCGGATTTAACAAGTACTTTCATCTACAATAGGGATTCAGTCAGATCTGTCAGTGGAAGTTTCAAGATTTTTTTTTTAAGAATCATTTCAAGCAATATTTATAATGCCGGTTTCTGCTAAAAAAAAACAGGTTGAACTCTAAAAATGAGCTTTTTCTTTATGAAGTTCTGAATGCACACCTTAATGTTTGCAGTCAGAGTTAAGACACACCTGCACCAGTGTGTGAGTGTGTGATTGTCTCGCGAAATGAGAAAAGAACATTTCCATATATCTGTAGAGCGTGATGACAACAGGATCTGCTGAGTTCCTGTCTAATCAAACCAGTGACTCATCTTTTCATCAATGCGCCGTTTCGCGGCGAAAACAACAGAGCTGAGCTCGGCTTGTGCGTCACCAGATTACTTTGATCCTTTCAATCAGTTCAAGGATATACAGAAAGGTAGATGATAGATGGATAGCAGCGGGGGCTTTATTTAGGCACGGATAGAAAAGCTATGAAGTTAAACTGCAGTTCCATGTTGGTTTGCATTTGAGTCCCTGTTTTCAGCAAAAAAAAGTTTTGCATGTTGTTTGTTTGTGAGAATGTGATCTGTCAGCTAAAAAATCTCCCAAAATGTTAAAAAGTGAGATATCTTTGTTTGAGAAGGATTTCAATGCATTTTTGGCTTTATGACTTTTTGAGTTGTATGTGCCCGTAGGGGTTTAAAAAGTGGTATTTTATTTGAAAGCATTTAAATCATGACTAATGATGCCGCTGTATGAAAGACGGAGATGGTGTATCTTAGGTCACCATTAAACTCCGGATCCATGTTGGCCTCCTTGTAGAAAAACAATATCTTGTTTGTTCAAGTATCTTTATGAGCGCTTATCTGGTAAGATAGCTGAAGGGTGCTGAAAGTTTATGATGATTTAAGAGTAAAAAAAACTGTATTTCAATATATTTTCCTACTGTCAAGATACCCCCCCAAAAACAGATCACATGTTTCAGTATGCTCTAAAAACAACCAAATATTGCTTCATAATTACATGATTAAAGTACAGTGTACTAGAGAAGAACTGTGTATTTCAATTTTGACTAAATGTTACACAAACAGAAAGTAAACAGTCTTTTGTTGGGGACTATTTTCACCTGTGGATTAACACACATTTTTCTGAGGTGCAAAAAGACCAAAAACGTCACATCTTTGGTCAATCTAAAAGCCACACTTTCAGTCTGCACAGCTTCATCAGGGCAAATGTTTCACAAAGGAGCCTCTCAGGACTTATAACGACGTCAGATAGATCCCACCTGTGCTTTACTCGTGGGAAATGTAGTTTACAACCACAGTTCTCGGAGGCATACAACTAACATTACATCAA